AGTTTCCGTTAGGCAGTTCATGTCTTTCCTACTACATAATTCATCTGCTAATAACATTTCAACGCTCAACTCTGGGGCCACTTTCTGCAGCTGTAGGCGGTGTGCATCAACGTAAGATATTTCATTTGAAACTTATTTGAAAAACATGACCAGAGAGAACAGATTGCAGTGCAAAATACAAATGCAAAATGTGAGTTAATTTTAAAGACTTTAAAGTAGCAATATGTAAGATGTTCTTGTCAAGTCATCATTAAATGGCCCTAATCTGTCAAAAGGCTTTAATAAAACATGCTCTTTTTGAAAACTTATTTAACTGATGACAGTAGTTCAGCTGAGATAGTTGGATTTCAAAATTACTTTTACAGCCCCTTAATCTTGATATTGTTTTCATTTCGATGTCCCGCCCTTCACCGTTTCACCAATCAGAAAGTCTGTGATGTGATCCAGATGCCAGAACTCACTGTGTCGAGCTTATCTCATTAAAGTAACATGTGGCTGCAGAATTAAAAAATGCCTCGTTATGATTCTCAAATCACTGTTAACAAAACAAGGGGTGAGTCAACCTGAGTCAGGGAAAACAAGAAAACAGGATCTTTCTTGTTTTAGAAAAATGTGTATAATTTGGCATATACCTTATAGTGGCTGCCCAGAGGTGGGACCAAGTAATTGTTTTAATATAAGTCTCTCGTCTTTGCTTAAATATCCCGAGTCAACACAGACAAGTCCTGTGTCAAGTCCAAAATCAAGACTGACAAGTCTCAATTCAAAGTCCTAGTGTTTGAGTTTTATTAATGGAGATAATATCTTAGTATAAATAAATACATTTGGTTTGATTGAATTACTTTTACAAAACAGTGGTTGTATAAAATAGTTATGGCAAACCATGCTTAATATTCTATTATATTACACATCCATGTAGTGCACTCAACTACGTAGAATGTAAACATTATTAAGTAAAAATGTATATGTAAAGACTAATTTTCAATTATTCAGCATCATGTATTAGATTCCTGAATCCTTTGAGAAGACCCCTGTTTTAAGATGGTTCTGGTAGAAAAGGTAAATTACATCCTGCTATTACATTTAAATCCAATTATTGAATATCTAGAGTAGGTGTCTCCAACCTGTAGCTCGGGAGCCACCGGTAGCTCACCACCCCCTTCCAGGTAGCTCACCAAAGGATTTAGAAATGAACACATCAAATATTATGCTTAATATTTCAGATTGTATTATTCATTATCATTATTTATTATTGTAAAAACACTTACTTTGTAACTAGTAACAAATATGTGATGATAAATATGACTGTACCCGAAATCAGACTTGTTGCATCAATATATCACAAAATTATTCCCAGGGTTCGCTTAAACGAGTAGCTCTCTGCCTTTATCATCAAAGTAGCTCTCTGGGTGAAACAGGTTGGAGACACCTGATCTAGAGACATTCAATAAACCAACTATGTCTTCATTATAAAAGGCAGAAAACATATTTTTTATGACATAATTGCCAAAAGGTTCATCTAAAATAGCATTCTGGTAATGATGAGAAAACAACAATTCTATTGGACATAAATCAATGCTGTCACTCAAACTACTTTCACAGCTCTGTCCACTTTTGTGTTGTATTGATTACTGCGACAGACTTTATGTTGACATGTCACAGTTCTCCCTTCATTTTGCACAATATTCAGCATCCCACCTCCAGATATTACTCCCATCCTGCCCTCTCTTCCATCTGCTCATTGTGCCTTTGTATTGATTTGACTGTCTTTGGTTAAAAGGTTGTCGTTTCTTTATACGCCACTGTATGTGTTGGATGTGTCATCCCAACCCGCAGCCCAACAGCGGGTTCTTTCTTATGGCTGCTCCTGAACAGTGGGACAATTCAATTCCACTACCCTTCTAGCCTGGTCGTACCACACCATCGTACAAATTACATTTTGTACAATAATTGATCAGAGTTTACGGATGGCTAAGGCTACTAACCTTCAGGCTGACACCCAACACTGCTCACATGCTCCATATGATAATAATCTCATCTATTTTACACTTTTTTGACGTATTATTTTCTGACTTCCTACTAAATAAGCATGGTTGTTCCTGTTGATCTGACATGTACAAGCTTTTCTTAAAGGAGCTATACCCGTTTCTGCAAGGATTGAATGTTTAGCACCGCCCCTCAACTCGCTCACAGGCTTCTCATTTCCCCTACGCTCTCATTCCACGGAGCCATCTAGTTTTATTTGCGATCTGATAGATATGCAAACATTAGCATGAGTGCAACTTGTAAGCTGTACAACAATCACTGATGAAATGGTACAAAAGCAACGCACTGCTAACAAAATACTGTATATAACTGAAAGATTACCACTGGTTTTGCGTCCGAATGTAGTCCGAGCATAGATAGTCTGAGGCGGTCCCGCAGGTCTCTCCCATAGACAAGTCTGTCCAGAGGATACGATGTAAGCTAGCTATGTTCACCTCGGCTTGATTTCTTCTTTGACATTTTTTTCGCTGTAGTTCCCTCTTCTCTTCCTCACTGTTGTGTCGTTTGGGCTGTTTTACGGTGTATGCAGTTACAGCAAGAGGAGTTATAGCCAATTCTGCTAACATGCTACTGTGTTTAGCAGCGCTGTAGAAGCTAGAGGACGCAGCATCAGTCTGTGGCTATGTCCACAGAAGAAAACATTTATAAATTGAGTTGCCAAACATTTCAGGAAAGTAACGAAACCAGTGCTTCTATCAGGCTTCGCTGTAAAATTACATTCTAAGAGGACTCATTTGTCATTTACCTTCAGATGTACAAGTTACAATATTATTTTCATGCACTTATTGCACCAAAAGCTATAATGAGGATACCTTAACCCTAACACTATTCATTCACACTCAATGTACAGTAGTTTTAGGGCGATTCTGTTACGGTATATTTATTCTCCAGACCTGAACCCTCCTTCACACACACTATTGTGGCGCCACCTGCAGGATAAAGCTTAATTCCATCATAACTCAGAACCCAAAAAGGACAAGGCTTGGTCAGCACCTATTATGGGTAGGCTTGTCACAATAACCATGATACGTGCAGTAAAATGGGTTTTCGGGAACTTTTTACACAGAGAAGCACGGCAAGACTTCTGTGTGAGCACAAGCGGCCGCCAAACTGCTGTGTGCAGGTTTCAAATCAGCACTTCTCATGACAAGGAGTCTCCTGCTCATCTACACAATTCAGTACAAAATCTGCCTCCTCAAGAGGGCTGTAATTCTTGATTATTTTCATAATCAATTTGCTTGCCAATTTTTTGTTCTATTAGGATAATCTTCAACATTGTGAGTTGTTACACACTGAGTTGTTTGATGATATTTTAGTATGATGTGTACGTGAATGGTTGGTAGAGGTCGGAGAGGCCAATAGCACAGAGCAATAGCTTTGCCCCCCCCCCCCCCTCATGAATTAAACATGATTTAATTCACACCCTTTTTACTTGTGTCTTGCCTGCATACGCGCACCAGCTATAGAGACCAAACTAGCTGCAGTTCCAGATACTGGAAATCAACAGACTCCAAAATCAAAATCAATGTCAAATTAAGAATAATCAACAGTAACACTTTGATCAGAAAGGCCCAAATATGATGTGTACATTGTAAGAGATAACTTTACTTTTTTAGCACTGAAGCAGGATTGACACAGACACTGAAAAGCATCTTGTCGACTTTTATTTCTCAAAGTATCACGAGCCTCAGACGTTTGACAGCACTTTTCACTACTTTTCTCTCAAAGTGAATACTCCAAATGTTTCATGCTAAAAAATATTATTTCTAAATTCATTTTGCACTCACTTGAACTTGTATGATTTGATAGTATACTAGTACACTATAGTATACTATGATTTTCAAGGAGACAGATAAAGTATTATAAAATGTACATTGTACATTTTGTTCATTCATTGGATGATGATGTCACAGTTGACTAAATAAACTAAAATACATTTCACTGGGAAAAGAGTAAAAACAGCTGAAGATCTTATATATTTTTTGTCAAAGCTTTTCATTTTAAGTTTATTTATTAATAGCAAAATTGTTTTCTCGTGCTTTCATGACACACCCACACACACACACACACACACACACACACACACACACACACACACACACACACACACACACACACACACACACACACACACACACACACACACACACACACACACACACACACACACACACACACACACACACACACACACACGTTTGCCTAAGCATGTTATTTCATGATAATTTCATGTTTGCACAAGATACATATCTAGTTATTTCATTATAAACAACTATTATGTTATTTCATTATACCAATTTATCATGAAATAACAAGATAAATATGCTAATGAAGCATTTAGCATTTTACTTTGGACTAGAGCAGAGAAAATGGTCCGAACCAAGCGGCTACTCCACCTTGTGACCTGTCCTGCTTCACCCAGAGGCTACTCCAACTCTGCTGCTCTGACCCGTCCTGCTCCACCCAGTGGCTGCTCCATCTGTGCTGCTCTGACCCGTCCCTCTCCACCCAGAGGCTACTCCATCTCTACTGCTGTGACCTGAAGAGCTGTTGCTGATTCTCCTACGGGGATTAATAAAGTATCTATCTATTAATCTAATATCTACCTTTAGCTGCAGTTACTGTTGGCAAAAGCACGGTTTTATGTGAAGTACAATGTTGTGGAGGGCAATTCATCTGATGTTGAACAGCACCGCTTAAACACTATAATTGAAAACGAATGAGCCGAAGCAAAAACTAACACCCAATTTATGATGTTGTCACGGGATCACCACAATATGAAACCAGAACAGAGTGGGAGTGGAAAAGCCACATTAATTAAAATCTTAGGCCTTTGTAAAAGCTTTTGGGATTATCACGGTCCCTTTTGCCATGAACATGCCAAAAGGTTATATTTACATCTGCACACACATGGAAAGTATTACACAAATTCTCTTTAAAATAGTAAATCTTACCTGAGCTGCGATGGACCACAACCGAGCCTCAAGAGAATCTAAGGTCATCTGGACCCCGACAGCTGCAGACACACATAACATGAACATTGACTGAGTCCAATAAAACGATCATAAAATCATAGTCTGAAAAATAAAAGTAGACAAATTAGTATTCAGCAGTAAAACTTGCTTATTCAGCAAAAAGTTCCTGCAGAGATAACTGGAGGGCTGAGGCAAACAGTTGCAGAAGTTATGGATAAGCTTAAAGCATTTGTCAGCAAAACAAGGGCACACCAAAAATAAATCTACATTTAATTATTTTCTTTTAACTTGCCAAATAAGGGATTTTAAAAGCAATTTGACCAAAACGAGGCTAAAGCGATGCCTCTCATGAACATCTTCATAGAGATTAGATAATTGGTTGTTTGATTCGATTTGGAATCCAAAAGCTATTTTATGCCATTTTGTAGTAATTATAGCTCTGGCCGAGTAAAGGAAGATATACACCTATCCGACGAGTCGACGTCTGGAGGTGTTTGAGACAATTGTATATATTTTTTGCTTTGGGGTTTGTGACCAGTGGGGGTGGGTTCTGGCTCATATGCTTGCAATCTCCCCCCTAGCCTGTGGGGGTGGACCTGCAAGGAGAATTATCCAATGCTCTTCTATCTGAAAACTGGATGGTCCAAAAGTCTTGGCCCAATGCTACGTTACAGGTGTGTGTCAATGCTGAGGGGACTTCAGAAGGCACTCGTCAAATGAATGGGGCTCATGACGGCTGACGCAAGCGCAAATGTATTTTTTTCTTCAAATTTTCCTGCTCCGCAGCCATTTTGAAACTGCCCACAGAAGACAAAAGTGGCGGCACATTAGTATCAACAGCGGAAATAGCCGAGACTACGTTTGTTAATACAGTATTTACAGTCTATGGGTGTGACACGTTGAAAGAGGTGTTTCCTTGGCGTCATTATTTGTCAACATCAAACACTGCACGTGCACTTGAAATCATATTTTTGTAAGAACTTAATTTAATTCGAGGAAGCTCCCGCAGAAAGACGAAGGAAATCTATGAATATGATCTGGGAGTGTAAAGTGTTCTTATAGTGTGTCAAGTTGGAAGAAGGAGCATTTGGACGTGAATTTGGAAGCGATTTTAATGAGGGAACAAGGGGCGACAGTAGCTCAGTTGGTAGAGCATTGGCCTTAAGGCCAGAAGGTTGTGGGTTCAATTCCCACCTCTGCACCTTCTCCACCGACTCCCACTGATGACTGCTGTCGTTGTGTCCTTGGGCAAGACACTTAACCCCACTTTGCCCAAAGCCCCCACTGAAAGATCAAGGCTATGCTCACACTCAGAGAGCAGCCGTCCTCCTGTGGACTCACCACCTGCAGAGGGTCAGTGAGGGGCTGGTGCTATGAGACTTGGGTGGCATCTCTGATTGCCACCCCCCTGACCCAGAAATGGATTAAAGGGTAGAAAATGGATGGATGGATGGATGTTGTAGCATAGTTAAAACTAGAACATCACAATTTTTTATTACACTGTAATAAGGCCGTCCATTTTACCCCCCCAAGTTGCATTTATCCAAGCCAATATAATTTTGTCTACTCAACACTGTATTCTATTTTGCATATAATATTTTATTTGTTTTATATATAAAATTTAACTCTACAATTTCTATGTAATAATGAAGAGTGCTTTTAGACTCTGTTGCCAGAGTCTAAAAGCACTCTTCATTTGGCTATTGTTTTTATTTTCAGTTGACTCTGTGTTTTTTGTGCTTACAAAACTTTTAAATGTTCAAATCAATACATTAACATTTGGCTTCATAGAAGTGTTATTAGACATGTTTAATCCCGCAAATGCAATGGACTAGTGCCCAGTGCTTAGAAAAACGGCTGTAGATTTTGCTGTGGTGGCCGTTTTGAGTTTAAGTATCCATGACTACTCTCCTAAAGTGTAATGATAATGTAAGAGCTGATAGAAAATGATGGAGGGGTCATTTTCATGCATGAGGTGGTTGGGTTTCGGGAAAGCAGACTGCACTGATCTCACTAATTATGTGCTTTAAATGATTGTACGGTGCTATTTAGCCTTATACACATGCTCAAAGTAGTATTTCCATGGATTCCCTCCCTTTATTTTTAGGGAATCCAGAGTGATCTTTCTCTTTCACACTCGAGAGGCAGAAAAATGTGCCACGTCAATTTGTGTCGTGGCAGATCGAGGACCTCCAGGAGGTGATTGAGAAATCCAAACAGATACGTCCACGAACTAAACTTGTAAAAATATAAGATGTTTCCTTGAAGTTTTCTGCCATGCAGCAGGATGCAAGGTGCACCCGGAGGCATGCTCTTCAAAGATTAACAGTGAAGGCGGTAGTCACACTTACACCGATTTAGTACTGACATTTTTGGCATGCATCAAAGTTCACTTGGCAACAGTGTATTTAAAATGTAGTAACCCACTTTTATCATTATTAAGTGGTTTGTCATTTGATATTGTATATTTATGATTACACCTTAATCAAGCAGAAATATGATTATTTGATTACTCAATCGATCGATCGATAGTAAAATATTTGATAACTGCAGATGTAATTACAATATTACATTATACATGCTTTTAAATCATTATCAAACGTATACAAACACTTTTATCGAAGCTTTGTTGAAAAATAAATTATTTGTTTGATTTACTTTTCTTTTTGTACAAATCTTAACTATTTTGTCCGTGTGTCCTGGACCTGTTAGTGTTAGTTCTTTCTAGTTACACACAAACAGAAAAACAAAACATAAGTGAATATGATTTTTTTTTTGTGGTCCGTGTTGCAAAATAATATTGACTAACAAATAAGGAGAATGTGATACGTTGAAGTCACCCCCTGCCAAGATTTAAGACCCCAATATCAACATTCAAATTTTTTTAAGGTACTATTTCCAAATTCATGAGTTTAATACATTTAGCACTTTATAATAGCCTGCAAGAACCCTGAAATAAATGCAGGTTAATGATGGCTCCAGACATGGCAGCTCAGCATAATGTTCCCCACATGAACACACATCCATGTCCAACGCAATGTGACACTTCTTATTAGCCTCACACATTAAGTGCTCCGGCATTTTAAGCAGCTGTACCAGCTGTAACAAGATAATAAAGTGAATAATTACAAATGACATACATTTATCCAGCAAAAACTGAGAATTATATGAATTATATTTTCAGAAATTATCATTATAATCATGACACATTCACAATCTAATATTCTAAAAAAGCAGAAAAAAATTTAGTAACCCACTTTTAAATCAACAACACAAATAGATGTGAAAAAAAAGAACACGACGGGCAACACCAGACGACATATCACAAGAGAGGTGTGGTTTTCTATTGTTCATTGCCATTTATTGGGAACTACAAATGTCTATCTAACGTGTCTACGTCTGCACCATAGACTGTATATATATATATATATCACGGACGTAGTCACGCCTATCTCCGCCGTTCTAACTAATGGGCCAAAAATTGGGCTTTCATGGAGTGATTCAAAATGGCCGCGGGGGCTGGAAAATGTGAAAAAACGCATCTGCGCAGCCGGCACGAGCTCCATTCATTTGAACGAGTGACTTCAAAAATTCACAGCGAGTAAACTAGACTGGTCCATAAAAACTCACCCCCCTCAGCATTGACACACATGTGGAACGGAGCTTTGGGCCAAGAGCCAACTTTTGGACCATCCCGTAAAGACGTTTTTGAGAGGTCTGCCAATGCTATATGTTAGCATTGGCTAATTCTTATTCTGGGTCCACCCCCATCGGCCCGGGGTGGTATTGCAAGCATGTCAGCGCACGTCATTTTGGCCACTTTTGAGCCGGGACCCGCCCCCACTGGTCTGCGCCAATCATATAAATTCACTCCAATAACATTTGTGAGACGGGGAATTATAATAAGAAAGTAGACGAATGTTAGGGTTTAAACGATGGTGTTGAACGATTACTGTTGTTTGTCATCCAATTACAAAAGCTTATTTTAAAAAAAAAAAATTCTGTGATAGTAACCTCCACTGAGGAAACTGTGTTGCATTTGATTGAATGTGATTTGGTGTTGTGTTTTTGGTTAAAAACTAAAACAATAAAATAAAAAGAAATAATAAAGACCCCTGGTAAAATCAGTATGGGGGAGGTAGACATTGAAAGGGTGTATGAAACAAAGTTTTTAGGAATCAATATTGATCATAAGTTAAACTGGAAAGTGCATATAAACACTCTAAAGACTAAAATTTCTAAACTCATTGCTATACTGTGTAAAATTAGAACTTCTGTAAATTAAAATGCTTTATATATACTGTACAATTCCCTCATCCTTCCATACCTCAGCTACTGTGTGGAAATATGGGGGAATACCTACAAAACTAATATAAAACCTATTTTTATCTTACAAAAGAAAGCCATTAGAGTGATCAGTCATGCCGAATACCTTGCCCCAACAAATCCACTATTTATTAGACATAATATTCTAAAATTGTATGATCTTGTTGATGTTTACACTGCAGCTGTGTTATACAAGGCTCACAACTTCATGCTTCCTCACTGTTTACAAAAGATGTTTCATACTAGAGAATGTAGCTACAGCCTCAGAGGAACTGATCTGCTTCAGAAACCCAGAGCAAAGAGTAATACTAAGAGGAGATGTGTATCAGTCAAAGGAGTTGATCTATGGAACAGTCTATCTGTTCAACTTAAGGGCTCAAGAACTATTAAAACATTCAAAAAAAAGTATAAGTCAAATATTATGGAGAAGTATAGCACAATTGAATTGGACTATGCTTAATAACTCGTGTTTATGGGAGGTCATGTTTTGTGCTTCATGTTACCATCGTTGGTATATGAGAATCTGTATATTGTGTCACCTATAACTTTGATCATGTATAACATAATTTTGATTTGTTGAAGTGCAATTTTTTTGGTGCCTCATGTTACCATCGTTGGTATATGAGAAACTGTATGTTGTGTCATTTACAATCTTGATCATGTATAACATAATTTTGATTTGTTGAAGTGCAAGTTTTTGG